AGTTGCTCAAGACAATACAATGATCTTGACATATCATACATTTGATTCAAATAGGGTATGAATTCTCATTTTTCCACATGTACAGATTGCAGGATCACATTGGTTATACATCCATGTGTATACATACAGCAATCCTAGTGTCAGTTGTATTCTGCTGCCCTCCCTATCCCCCCTCCCCTCCCCTCCCCTCCCCTCTCATCACTATTCTCTACCCATTCTACTGTGACACTTATCTCTCTCTCTCTTCTTCCCTTCCCCCTCACACCATCATATATGTATTTTGTGAACCCATGAGGGTCTCCTTCCGTCTTCTGTGCAATTCCCCTTCTCCCTCCCTTTCCCTCCCTCCTCTTTTCCTTGTTTTGTGGTAATCTTCTCACGCTCTTCCTTCCTACTCTGTTTTGAGTCACCTCCCTTATATCAGAGAAGACATTCGGCATTTGTTTTTTTAGGGATTAAATGAGGGCTAAGGCTCATTCAGGCTTCATATGTCCAAGGCCCTAGGTTTGATTAAAACAAAACAAAACAAACAAAAACAAACAAACAACAACAACAACCCAAAACCCAGAAGGCTGAGTCATCATTCTCTTTCATCTGAGAACTGAAGTGTGGTTTAATGACAGCCATCACAGGGCCCACACAGAGAGTGGATCTGCCAGTCCTGTGTGAGACACCAACCCAGATGACATCATGTGAGCCCATTGGGCCCTGCCCAGATTCTTAACACACAGAATTATGAGGGATCAAAAGGATTGTTGTTTTGAGTTTTGGTGTACTCTGTTACACAGCTGTGGCTGACCAAGACATACTTACTAGGAATAGCTCAAGTTGGAAAGATTCATAGACTCATAGTCCATGGTTGAATCCAAGAATGCTAAACTCATGGATATGAGAGCGATCTGGCTGCGACCTCTGTCACCCCATTGATTGCCAGGGTTGATTCGGCTGATCTGGCTGGCTAGGCAGGTGTCCCCTTCCTCCCTCACGGTTCCATGTGTGTCCCTCCGGAAGCTGAGTGCTTGGTTGGTTGAAGAGGACTACCTTCCCTGATAGAGGAGGACCGTTCTTCCGTCAAGGGTATACGAGTAGCTGCACTCCCCGCCCCCCCAAAAAAAGCCCACAGAGGAGAAGAGAAGGTAAGAGGCAGGTGCAGAAGGAAACCAATTCAATATGGAGAGAAAGATGGAGCTAGTTCTGTGCCCGAGGGATCAGTAAGATAGCTTGGTCTTTAGAGAAGAAATTTGCATGATGTGTGCACATGTGCAAAAAGGTATTTGTTGAATAAACAAATGAATTCGTGAGACAGTTGGCTTTCCTGTTCTACTTATCTCCATTCCATGGGCAAAATACATTCCTCTCAACTGTGTCAGCTGTTTTCTTGTTTATCTTGTGAGCCACCTTGTGCTTCTAATAATACTTCTTTGCTGTGTTTGTTCACTGTGATTGAAGTGGTTTTCCCTGAGGAAAATGTCAAGGATTACAGAATTCTTATACAGGGCATACTGGGAGAGGGGTACTGATTGAAAGAGAGTCTTAAGGGATGTTTATTTATTTATTTATTTATTACTGTGGTGCTAGGGAGTGAACCCAGGGCCTCACATATTCTAGGTAAGCACTCTACCACTTGAGCTACATCCTCAGTTCTAGTTTTTTTTTTTTAAATACATAACCTATATATAGTAGAATACAAAACCTTAATTGTACAACTCAATAAAAATTTTCATCTGTAGCTAGGCATGGTGGCCCACGACTATAATCTCATTGGCTTCAGAAGCTGAGACAGGAGGATGACAAGTTCAAATCCAGTCTCAGCAATTTAGTGAGGCCCCAAACTACTTTATGAGACCCTGTCACAAAATAAAAAAAAAAATAAATAAATAAAAAGAGGCTGGGGATGTTTTTTGTTGAGGGTTTCTGGGTTCAATCCCTGGTATCAAAAAAAATATGTATACACAATATAAGCACCCTTCAGATAAAATTCTGGAATGTTTCCATCATTCCTGAAGGTTCATTCCCTCCTGCTCATTCTCATGTGAGACTTCCGCCTACTGAGACAACCACTCCACTGACTTCTATTATTATGATTTTATTAACTTGCTTTTAAATATATGAAATCATGAGCACATATGCATCTGATCTTATATCATAACCTTATGTTACGACATAATTTGGGAGTCATCCATGTTGTTGGGTATATCCTTAATTTTATTTATTTATTTATTTTTTTGGTGTGTGTGGTGCTGGGGATTAGAACCCAGGGACTTGTGCATGCAAGGCAAGCACTCTACCAATTGAGCAACATCCCCAAACCCCATAATTTGTTATTTTTAATTGAAGGACTATATCACAATTTATTTATCTTGTTGATGACTATTTGTTCCAGTTTGGGGCTGTTATTAATAAAACTGTCATGGACATTTTTGTACATGTCATTTATAGATATATGCATATATTTCACTTTGGTAAGTATCTAGAAGTGAAATTACTGGGTCGTAGGGTTGGACATACATTTAATGGGTATTGTCTGACAGTTTTACAAAGTCAGTAAACCAATATACTCTCTCTCTCTGGCAATTAATGATTTCTAGATGCTCTATAGCATTGTCAACACTTAATATTCTCAGTCTTCCTTATTTTAGGCATCCTATCTGGTACATAGTGGTATCTCATGGTGGTTTCAATGTACATTTTCATGAAATATGAGGTTGAATATTTTTTCATGGACTTATTGGACATTTGGATATCCTCTTTCCAAGGTGCCTGTTGAAGTCATTTGCCCATTTTCTAATTGACTTGTCTTTTTATTGATACATAGGTGTTTTATTTTTGTATAGAGGATTGAATCCAGAGGCACTTTACTACTGAGCTACATCCCTAGCCCTGCTGCCTCCCCTTTCCCATTTTTTTTTAATTTTTAGACAGAGTTACTCTAAGCTGCTGAGGCTGTCCTAGAACTTGTGAACCTCATGCCTCAGCCTCCTGAGTCACTGAGATTACAGGTATGCATCACCACACCTGGATTGTAGCAGTTCTTTATATATTCTAGATATGAACCTTTTGTCACATATATTGAGAGCATATACTCTCTGTCTCTGAATTGCCTATTAATGATGTCTTTTTCTTAACATAAATAATTTTAATGAACCAGGATTTACCTTAAAAATGTGTATATATATAAAGTTATAATGATAATATAATGAATGCTGCAAATCTACCCACACTTTAGATCTAACATGTGACCCCTACTGTGGAGTAGCATGCTCCTCCTTAAGTCAATCTCCTCTTCCCTCCCTACTTCCTCAGTGCTGGGAGCCATTAGCCAAGTAGGTATGACAATTTCCTTGCCAGCGTACCCCATGTTGCAGTGACATTGAATGTACTTAACCTTGCTCAAGGACCAAGGCAGATTAGGGTGTTCCCGGTTTTAAGATAATCTTGTTTAGGGCGTTCCCAGTTTAGGTTCCAGGTTTAAGGTTTAAGATTATTCCTGCTGGGAATAGGGCGTATCCTGCTGCCTGAGTTCCCCTTGAGTTCTCACGGGATTCAGACAGTATATTTTGGAGATAGAAGCCCAGTGGAGGTGGATTTGGGCAGAGAACGTGGATTTCCCCAGAACGTGATTGTAGACGGCTGGTGTGAGTTCGGGAATAAAGAGTTGCTGTTTGAATCTACAAGCTGTGTGGTGGCTCGTGATTGTGTGCCCAGCCAGACTGCGGCATTTGTGCCCAGCCAGACTGCGGCACCTCAGAGGTAACTTTTACCTTACATCGTGTGTTTAACATTCTTATGCTTTTAAAAGTAATATTAGCTAACATGAATATATCTTTTCATTGGTTTGAATGTGTACCCCCAATTTATGCAAAAGTTAATTCACAATATAACAATGTTGAAAGCATGAACTTAAGAGGAGGTGTGTTTAGTACAGGAGCATTTTGCCTTCATGAATGGGTTAGTGCTATAAAAAGGGCTTGCAGGAGTGGGTATGCCCCACCTTCTGTGAGATGAGAGTTCATACTCCCTATAGGAGGCAGCAAAAATGCACCATCTTGGGGCTGGGGATGTGGCTCAAGCAGTAGTGCGCTCGCCTGGCGTGCGCTCGCCTGGCATGGGCCAGGCGCTGGGTTCAACCCTCAGCATAAAAATAAAATAAAGATGTTGTGTCCACCGAAAACTAAAAAATAAATATTAAAAAATTCTCTCTCTCTCTTAAAAAAAAAAAAAAGCAACATCTTGGAACCAGAGACCAAACCTGCTGTTTCCTCCATCCTTCCTTAGAAGGACCGTGCACCCCTTCCAGTGGTACCCCTCCAAGACAAAATATGTTTTCTGCTTTCTTCAGGTTCCCTATTGGATATCTATATATCAGTATTTATTCAGTTTCACAAACAATGTATAAAATATATCCCCTCTTTCATTGTAAAAATAAAAACCACAGTGACAGAATCCCATTGATGATGGCCTGCCTCCAATGTGGCATCCCTCTAGCAGATAACTTCATAACCATTTGGGTGTCTTTTGGTTTAAGATCACAGAAATAAACTTTTGCTACATTTTTAACCATAAATTGTATCATGTTTTATGTATTGTTGACTTCCACCACCTGATTTGTTATCTTGAAATATTTTTTTTCTTTGAAAAGTTAGTTTCAATAGAAATATATGCTCCCATGGCACAATACGAAAAAGATGGAAACGATGAACAGGAAAAGCCTACTTTCCCTCATTTGACAGAGGATGTCTCCAAAGGAGCCTCCATATCCCTTAACTTAGGTTCTCTGGATACTTGTCGACGCCTGGCATAAATAGAAGTGCCACATTCTTCCTCACTGTTTGGAAGCCCTCAGAGAGAAAGTGTGTTCCCTTCGCCACCAGCATTTCCAAAACTGCGCCCGTATCTAGTCGCGGCGGGTCTGCGAGTCGGTACTGGGAGCAGCGATCTGTGGCGGACACTGGGAACTGGAAGCGACAGTCCTGGGAGTGGAGGGGTATCTTTGGAGAAAGATGACAGAAGTTGAGGGCAGAAGTCCAAGGGGGAAGAAGAAAGGAAAGGATCCCGCGTCAGGAGGACATTGCGAGTTGGGTGGAGAGAAGAGAGCCCCTGCGCGGAGTCAGACTGCGGGTTTTCTAGGTCCCACTTGACTTTTCGCTCCCTCGGGGCCTCCCGGATACTGTGACCTCTTAGAGGCCTGTCAAGCTGGGCTAACTGGCCCTTCTGCCCCAAGAACACCTCGCACTTGGCTGGGAGCAGGGTGGAGGGAGATTGCCTTCAGTGGACTCTACGTCCGGCTCCTGTCCCTGGACACGTCTTACAACAGCTGGATCGCGGGGGAAACCTCATCTGGGACCCCAGCCCACGCAGGCAACTGCCTCGACTTAGCGCCCTTTCCCAGCCGCAGACTCCGAGGCCTGGGAAGAGCCCGCCGCCCACCTGCTACCTGGAGAGAAGGTTGGGGCTGGTAGGCGTTAGGGACATGGCCTTGGGCCTGTCCTTTTTTGCCCTCTCCTGATGTCTCGCCAGCATCCAAGGGCGGGTGGCGCGGGGCCGTGGTTAAAGGGTGTCACCTGCGTGGATAAGTAAGTGGGCGGAGTGACGCATCCGGGCGTAGGAGCAGCTTTCCCCAGCGCCCTCGGCCCGGGAGCTTCCGGTGGCAAAGGCAGGCGCCGCCTCGGGAGACGCACGCACTCGGACGCCCTCGCTTACGCCGGAAGCCTCAGTCTCCCTGTCTGCCAAGTGGGTGGCCAGCGACCCCCGCGTCTTAGACTTACTGTGGTCCTTTAGGGAAGCCCACCAGCCCTAGTCCTGCTCTCTTGCACCCACGCGCCCCCAGTCCTGGCTCTTCTGATCGTGATGCAGGGGGTAGGTAGTGGGGGCACTGGGGCGCCCTGACCTCTATCCTCCCGAAACCCGGCAGGTGGGCGTTCAGCTGCCAGAGGCCTCCGCGTTCCCTCCCAGCTTGGAAAGTGCTGGGGGGCGGGGGGAAGCGGGGGAGGACCGGAGGCAAGGCCGACCCAAATCCAGCGCCGCCAGCTCCGGAACCAGAGCCAGGTTGGGCCCCCTCCAGAGCCAGACTCAGGCCGCAAAGGTTTTTCGGAGGCGAGTGTGAGCTGGGCCGTAGAAAGTCGGAGTGGACCCGACCCCTCCGGGCGCTGGGCCACGCGGACACCGGCAAAAGGCCTGCTGCTCCCCTGGGTGCCAGCTGCCTGCGGGGCTCGGCGGATTACCGCCTGAGTCTTCTCGCGGGATCCAGGGCCGCGCCAACCCCCGCGGGGCCCAGATCCCTGGCTTGGCTTCCCGAGAACGCCCGTGTCCCGCTGGCTCCGCCGAGTTCTGACTCGCGCGGGTCCCGCGGGGCCAAGCCCAAGTTCAACACTGATCTCCAGCTCTGCGCCGGTGCTCAGAGTGCCGCGGCCTGCCCCTTCCTTTTACTGGGAGGGATGTGCCCTCTCCTCTCTTCTTTCCCGGTTGGACGCGAGACAGAGTCCTCTGCGTGTCTCTGGGACCAGGCTGGGAATTGCCTTCCTCTCCTAGTGTGTCTTCAGCGCCCCCTGCAGTGCGTCTCCTGTACGGCAGCGCAGGACGCATTTCCAAATGGAGCTGTATCCCCTGCCTTACCTTTCTTCCACCAGGCCCTCTTGGCCTTGCCTCTGGCTCTGTTTGCCTGGGGCCTCAGAGTTAGGCTTCTTAGAGAAAACAACGAAAATGTAAAGCTTACTGAATTATAATATAAACATCCACATAACCATCACCCAGGCCAAGAAATAGTACTTTCCCAGGCACCCCTTACTACCCTTCTGAGTCCCATTCCAGTCCCCACTGCCCCCTCCTCCCAAAAATGCTCATGGTCTTCGATTTTGCAATAATTATTTCCTTGGGTTCTTTATGGTTTTTATTACCCAGGTGTGACTCTCTAGACATTAAAGATTAGTCTTGCTCTTTTAATCCATAGGTTCCTTTTCTCTTTTTCTTATAACGCATCCATGGACGAAGTTGAGTCATTTCTCTGTAAAGATTTTCAAGTCTGGATTTCTCTGATTGCATTTTCATGGTGCAGTACAATACACCCCTCTGTTCTCTGTATTTCCTGCAAGTTGAAAACTGGATCTGGAGGTTCTATCAGACCTTAGGTTCAAAGTTTTCAGTTAGACTCTAGGTTGTGGGGTGCTCTTTTATAAGGAGATATGTAATGCAAAGTTCAATTTTTTTTTGAGATTGTGTTAATGAACTTTCATTACTGTGACAATATACCTCAGATAGACAACTTAAAAATAGATTTATTTTGGCTCATGGTTTCAGTCTTCTGTCAGTTGGCCCATTGTTTTTGGGTCTGTGGCTAGGTAGTATATGATGGTAGGAGTACATATTGGAGGAAACTACTTACCTAATGGCTGTCAGGAAGCAAAAAGAGGAAGGGGCAGGATTTCATTATCCCTTTTAAGGGCATACTCCCAGTGACCTAACTTCCTTGCACTAGCTTCACCTCTTAAAGGTTCCACCACCTTCCAGTAGTGCCACAGGCTGGTGACCAAGCCTCCAACACATGGGCCTTTGGGGGTCACTTATCTATTACAGCAGAGATGTTTAATGCTAACATTTGCTAATTCTTTGGGGGATGGAAATGGTAATGTTCTAATTATACCATTTCTTTTTTATTTATCAGATGGATAAATTTTGTAGAGACACTTCTCATGTATGTGGTCACTTAGTGGAACAGTTCATAGAGGAAAGGCAGGATAAATGCTTGTTTCTTTGCATTTATTTATCCATTTTCAAGATAATGAATTGCTATCTGTTATCTTTCTAAGTTGATGAGCTAGTTGGGTGTAGTGGTGCACGCCTATAGTCCCAGTGACTTGGGAGGCTAAGGCAGGAGGATTGTAAGTTGAAAGACAGCCTAAGTAATTTAGAAAGGCCCTGAGCAACTCAACAAGACACTGTCTCTTAATAAAATACAAAAATACAAAAAAGGGCTGGAGATGTAGCTCAATGTTTAAGTATCCCTGGGTTCAATCCCCAGTACCAGAAAAAAAAAGTTGATGAAGGATTTAAATATATATGTTATATATTTAATATATAATAACATTTTAGTTATTATCATTATTGATGCTCCAACTCTCCCATTTTTGTCTAGTTGGAGTCTCTTCAGGATAACTCTTGTCCTTTTGATGTGACCCCAGTTGTCTTTGAATGCTGCCTTGCTACCTGTTATGACAAGATGTTTCCAGTTCATCTTGTATATTTATTGCTCCACATTTAGATCAACTAATTCTCCAGGAAGACTTGGTTGTGACGTGTGGAGGCAGGAATTAGGGATGGACACACACACACATGGGTTGGTCCCTGGTGGGTTGTAGCCCTAGGAAGCTTTATTGTCTAGGCTCTGGATGAGGAAGAAAATTTTCCTTCTTTGAGGAAAAATAAACCCTAGGCCTGTGATGCAAGGTTGAGGACAATAATTTTTTTTTTTTTTTTTTTTTGTAAAACATCCAAGAGCTTCGTACAAGTTTTGTCTGATGTTGGTTCTGCAGTCACCTCACAGAAGCTAACATAAAACCACTGCAGAGATCCACTGCCATTACCCAGATGTTTCAGAGTCCCACAGAGAAAGCCCCATGGCAGGAAGCTGGCAGGCTTATACAGAGTGCTTGAAGTCTTCTAGGCTTGCAAGGAATAAGATCACCTTTCCCTCCCCTCCTCAAGATTTTCTAAGACCAAATAGGCAAGAAACAGAAATACAAACTCGGTCTTCAATTAGATTAGGCATCAGCTAACATTCTGATCTACAAAAGTAGGTGGGAAGACTGCTAAAGGAAGCGAGGATTCAATTCAAAAGAGAAAATGGAGACAAACTTGCAAGGAACTATAAAGCTGGCAGAGCACACAGCGTCAATGCAAAGGGCACACTCTTGAGTGTAAAATCAAATTCTCTTGCAAAAGTAGGAATCCAGACTGGACAGGAGCTTCCCTGGAGTTGGTGTGGTTCCAAAAAGGAGAGAAGTTGAAGTCCAATAAAGAAGTACACAGAAAGATGTCATATTTACAGGGAGCAGAACTGCTCTGTAGAGAAAAGAAGAAAGACTTTTGCTTCCAGGAGCCCTACAGCACTTCCCAGCTCCTCTTCACTGGCTCCGGGGAGGTAAAGACTAAAATAACTCGAGAAAACTCTGGGTCTTAAAGTAATTTTGCCAGCTTGAAACATTCCCTACATAAGGTCCTGCAAAAAAACTGGTTCAACAAACATAACCCCTTCCCAAAGAAAACTGTAAATCAATCTCCCTATCCAAACAACACAAACATTCTAAATAAAATGTTAGGGATTTTAGCCACTGAAAATACAGCAATGAAAAAAACCCTTAATAGTTCTTAATTATGTCAGATGGTGATAACTTTTATGGAGAAAAATAAAACAGAGAAAGGATGGTAGAGAGTGAAGCCATTTTAATTAAGGCAATAATTGAAGTCTATGTGACAGGGGGAAAATGAAGGAAATGATATTGCAGAAGAATTTGATCATGATCGGCTCCTAGAGCCTGAAAATGCATTTAAGAAAATTCAATATACTTTTAAAAAAATATTTATTTTTTAGTTTTAGGTGGACATCTTTATTTTATTTTATTTTTATGTGGTGCTGAGGATCGAATCCAGTGCCTCATGCATGCTAGGTGAGTACTCTACCACTGAGCCACAACCCCAGCCCCTCAATATACTTTTATGATTAAAAAAATAACACTTAGAAACGGGAATATATAGAAATTTTTTCCTTTCTTTCTTTTTAAGAGATGGAGTCTTACTATGTTCCCCAGCATAGCTCTGAATTCCTGAGCTTCAGTGATCAGAGTCCAGTCCCTCCAAGTAAAAAAGAAATTTCTTTAGCAAAAACAAACAAAAACAAAAATACCTCAACTCCAAACCAACAAGGATCCATAACCAAAACGTACCCTGAAGTAATTCACCATAAACAGACATCAGCAGATAACATAAATAGGAATTAGAATCCAAAAACTTTAGAAAATAGAACAATCTGATGACACTATAATATAAATTTCTCTTAATTGGCTCAAGACCAAGAAGATTGCATTGAAACCATTAAATAATATTATGAAAAGGAACAGGAAAATTAGAAAAAAGAAATTAGGTAAAAAGAACTGGAACTGAAAAGACAATGCCATTTAGAAAGGAGAACTCCACTCAACAGGTTAAATAGCGGATTAACTACATAGGAAGAAAGAATTTGTGAAATAGAATGTGGCAGAGAACATAACAGAAAACAAGAAAGGGAATAAATACAGAAAGAAGTTTGGGTAAAAAGAGAATATAATATGCATCATAATTTTAGGATGAAAAATTGGAAGGAATGGTGAAGAGGTGATTTATTTTATTTTTTTACCCTTTCTGAAACTGGGGGTTGGATCCAGGGCTTCATGCATGCTAGACAGGCATTCTATCACTAAGCTACCTCCCCAGCCTTGTGAAGAGGGGGGTCTTTAAAAATTTTTAGAATTATTGAAAGACATGCATCTCCAGATTCAGATTTTGAGCAGGAAAAATTAACTCAAACCTTGACTGTCTTAGTCAATTTGTGTTGCTATAATAAAATACCTGATTCTGAGTAATATGTGAAGAAAGAGATTTATGTAACTCATAGTTCTGGAGGTTCAAGAGCATGGTGCTGGATTCTGCTTTGCTCTGGTGAGGGATCATGGCATCACAGTGGTGGTAGCATATGAGGAAGAGGTAACAGGAAGCAAGAGGGAGAGCAGAAACAGGGGAATTTGCTTTGTAACAACTCATTCTCTAGAGAATTCACTCCTTGAGACCAGCATTAATCCCTTGCAAGGACAATTCCCCCAAGATGTAATACTTCCCACTAGGCCCAGCCTCTTAAAGGTTCCACCATCTCAACACCACACCAGGGACCAAGCTTTTATCATGTGAACTTTGGTGGGCAACACATGCAAATCCTATCCAATTACCATTGACATATGGTAATGAAGCTTTAGAATATGAAAGACAAATAATAACTTAATTCACAACAGGGGAGGAAAGGTAGACTATACAAAAGAACAATTAAACAAGAGACTAATGTTTATTTTTTAGTTTTCGGCGGACACAACATCTTTGTTTGTATGTGGTGCTGAGGATCAAACCTGGGCGGCACACATGCCAGGCGAGCGCTTGAGCCATACCCCCAGCCCAGGAATAGTATCTTCAGAGTGCAAGGGCTAAGCACAGAAATGTTCCACATTTGTTTTAGTCTAATTCATCCTTTGGAAGTAAGGTCAAAGTATTTTTAGGTAAGTAATGACGAAGAGAATTTGCCATTTACAGGTCTCCCTGAGAGCATGAAAGGACATATTTAAGGAAGGAGTCAGTTAAATCTAGAAGGGGGAATACAGTATGAGGAACACGGGGAAATGGGCCAGTACATGGCCAAGTCCAATAGGAGGAGTAATAAAAATGACACTGACTAATTTAGAAGGCATAAAAATGAAATGGAACTAGGGGCTGGGATTGTGGCTCAGCAGTAGAGCACTCGCCTAGCAAGGGCAGGACCCGGGTTTGATCCTCAGCACCACATAAAAATAAAGGCATTGTGTTGTGTCCATCTACACCTAATATATCTATATCTATCTATCTATCTATATATATATATATATATATATATATATATATATATGAAATATATGAAACTAAAACTGCTAGACAAAGAAAACAGGTAAAGTGGGGAAGGGCTGATGGAAGTTAAAGCTTTATCAAGTCTTTTTTTGTTTATTTGTTTGTGGGAGGAAGATATACTGATTAATTTAACTTTTGCTATTAAAAATCTAAGGTAATCAGTACAAAATAGAAATATAATACATAACCCATATGAAACACAAAAAGTTCATCATATATTGGGCAACAAAGTATCAACAAATCCCAAGTAGCTGAAATCACAAACATGTAAGTGCTAATAAAAGCTAAAAATAAAAAATAGTGAAAATTCCCATCCACCAGGAAATAAAAACGTATTTCTAAATAATATAGGGGTTGAAAAAGAAATCCCAATGGATATTAGAAAACATTTAAAATTAGCTGGGCACGGTGGTGCATGCCTGTAATTCCAGACACTCAGGAGGCTGAGGCAGGAGCATCACACGTTTAAAGGTAGCCTCAGCAATTTAGTGAGGCCCTAAACAACTTAGTGAGATCCTGTCTCAAAATAAAATGGTCTGGGAATGTGACTCCTACAAAGGAAAACCTGTGACATGCAGATAAAGTGGTGGCTTCAGGCACGATTTATTGTGGATTAAATATTAATTTCCAGGTAGAAAGAAAACTCATAAAATATTTAATAAGAAAACAAAGGAAACTGCATTATGATACTAGAGGTAAGGAAGAACAAGATGTAAAAAGCAAATCTGGAAAAAAAATTTTTCTATTTGATTTAAAAACCCAAAATAAAAAAAGCAGGAGAAGGTAGGAGAAGTTATTTCCAACATATATGATTGATTATTAGTATACAGATTTATAACAAAGTCCTACAAAATTGATAAAAAGACAAACTACTCCATTAAAAATATGTGAAGGACAAGAGTAAGAAATATGCAAAAGAACATGACTGGCTATGAAGAATCTCAAACTCCTAATGATAAGGAAATGTTCATTTAAAATATGATATACTTTTACACACCCATAAGATTTGCAGGATTCAAAAGGTCTGATAATACATCAACCAGGTGAGACTGGTGGAAACAGGAAATGGTAACTAGTCCCACATAGTCCATTATGTGGGAAGCAATTTGGTAATCCTACTTAGACCTTTGCATACCTTGTTAAGGAGACGGTTTTTTTTAAGTATCCACTCTAGAGAAGCCCTTTCTTGGAGTCAAAGGGATACAAGTAACCCAGATATTCACTGTGTTGCTATGGATCATTTTAGAAAAGTGGGAACCATGCAACAACACCTGGGCAGGCCAATGGGTGAGTGAACTTTAAAATTGCTGTTTCATCAAATACTCTAAAATACAAAGCCAGGGAATAAGAACTCCATCTGCCAAGGCATCTAAATATCAAAAACGTGATGCAAGAATAAGCAAGTTGCAGCATGATATGCACTGCATGGTAACAATTTATGTAAAGTGAAAAGCACAGGGAAACTGTAATATACAAATATCAAAGTGTAGGAAAGTCAATTAGACCTTAAGGCAGACTGCATATCAACAGCAGGGCCGCAGGAGGCAGGGAAGGGGGAAGGGTGGGGTTGGGCTTCAGCTGTCTAATGACTTATGTCTGTTTTATAGAGAAGAGCTCTGCAGCAGAAGGATGTCCTGATATATTTCTGCACAATGGGAAAAGGGTGTTTCACAATTTTGCTTCTCTGCATGTTTAATAATTTTGTAAGTAAAATATATTAACTACCTGGAACACTTTTGCCTCTTGAAGTAATTGGAAGAACTGAAAAAGAAATAAGTAGGAGGTAACCTTATCTTTTTGCAGTTCAGTGTTATTTAATATTTCATCCCTATTTGGAAATATTCTACCCTACTAGCCTTGGGGAATGCCTCAGAAGTGACATTGAGAGCCTCTAGCTCTTGTCCAGCAGGTGTTTTCCTTGCTCCTCTTTCTTCTTGTCCACCATGATATGGTGACACCTTCCCTATGTTGGCTATAGCAACTCCCACCAGGGCCTTTCCTTTGCTCCCCCCTTGCACATCCTTGTCATATCCCAAACAGTGCTATAAATACATGTGCAATATCATTGAGAATCCTACTGTTAGAATGCAATAACAAGTGTTTTTAAAAGAAAAGCTGGCACTCCCTCTACCCCCACCCCAACAGCACACAATCCTGGCCCTGCATCCCTGTTCTTCAGTGGAGGTGTGTTCACTGACCATATATCCCTTGCACAGTTTCCTGCAGCTTCAGTTCACTCAAGCAGGGGGGCTATGGTCCCTTCTCAGAGGCAGACAGGGATCAGAACTTTCTTCCCATCTCATTTGACTCTAAGATTCTTTTTTTTTTTTTTTTTGAGAATTTTTAATATTTATTTTTTAGTTTTTTCGGCGGATACAACATCTTTGTTTGTATGTGGTGCTGAGGATCGAACCTGGGCCGCATGCATGCCAGGCGAGCAGGCTACCGCTTGAGCCACATCCCCAGCCCCGACTCTAAGATTCTTGTTGCTTTTACCCATTCTGCTTAATGGACTCTCTGGGACACCCAAATATTATTTTTAAGCATCATATACTTATTCATTTTGTTAATCTGTCCATTCCTGCCCAAATTGTGCCAAGTCAGACCTGGGTTCCAGGCAGATACCTGAAATGATTCAGTAGGAGGATTTCAGAGAGTTCTTTCTAGCTGTGCTCAGGTTATGGAGGACAGATTGGAAGGAGAACCTACTCTCTTGTGGGAGTGCATGGAAGATTTCCGAGAGAAAG